TCATCATCATCATCATCATCATCATCATGATCATCAGCATCATCATCAACATCATCATCAGCCTCACCAGCATCATCATCAGCATCATCATCATCACCAGCAGCAGCATCAGCATCATCATCATCATCATCATCAGCATCATCATCATCGTCATCATCAGCAGCAGCATCAGCATCAACATCAACATCAGCACCATCATCACCATCATCATCATCAGCAGTATCAGCATCATCATCAGCATCATCATCGTCGTCATCATCATCATCATCACCATCAGCATCATCATCATCAGCAGCAGCAGACGCATCAGCAGCATCATCATCATCACCATCATCATCATCATCGGCATCATCATCATCATCAACAACATCAGCATCATCAGCATCATCATCATCAACATCAGTGTCAGCATAATCATCATGATCATCATCAGCATCATCAGCAGTATCATCATCATTAGCATCCTCATCAGCATCCTCATCAGCATCCTCATCATCATCATCATCATCATCATCATCGTCAGCATCATCATCAGCAGCAGCAGCAGTAGCATCATCATCATCAGCATTATCATCATCATCATCAGCAGCAACATCATAGGCATCATCATCAGCAGCATCATCAGCAGCATCACCAGCAACGTCATCATCATCAGAATCATCATCAGCATCATCATCATCAGCATAATCACACTCAGCAGCATCATCAGCATCAGCTTCAGCATCCTCCTCCTCATCATCATCCGCATCCGCATCCGCCTCCTCCTCCTCCTCCAACTCCTCCTCCTCTCCTTTTCTTCCCTCCCCCCCCCCCCCCCATCTCCCCCTCTCCCTCCTCTTCCTCCTCCTCCACCGCCTCCTCCTCCTCCTTCTCCTCTCCTTCTCTAACTCCTCCGCCTCCTCCCCTCCGCCTCCCCCTCCCTTCTCCTCCCTCCTCCTCCTCCTCCTCCTCCTCCTCCTCCGCCTCCTCCTCCTCCTCCGTCTCCTCCGTCTCCTCCTCCTCCTCCTCCTCCTCCTCCTCCTCCTCCTCCTCCTCCTCCTCCTCCTCCCCGTGCCACTGGTGCCAAGGGGCTCCTGTTGGGCAGTCGGGTGAGGACACATGGGGCGCCTGTAAGGAGACCGTCGATCTCCAAAGAGCATCTAACACAAATCCTCTGGAGTTAGGCCAACGGGGCGGCACGGGCAATCAGATCATGCGTCGACCCCTCATGCCCTGACCCCCATGCTGGGGGCCTTGCCTTGGCTGGCCCCTCATGCGTTGACCCCCTCATGCTGGGTCATTGGCCCTTCATGCGTTGACCCCTCATGCAAGGGCGTCGGCCTTTCATGCGTTGACCCCTCATGCCCTGACCCCAAATGCTGGGGGCCTTGGCTGACCCCTCATGCGTTGACCCCCTCATGCTGGATCATTGGCCTTTGATGCGTTGACCCCTCTTGCCAGGGCGTCGGCCTTGCATGCGTCGACCCCTCATGCCCTGACCTCCCATGCTGGGGCCTTGGCTGGACCCTCATGCGTTGACCCCCTCATGCTGGGTCATTGGCCCTTCATGCGTTGACCCCTCATGCAAGGGCGTCGGCCTTTCATGCGTTGACCACTCATGCCCTCACCCCTCATGCTGGGGGGCTTGACTGACCCCTCATGCGTTGACCCCTCATGCTGGGGCATTGGCCCTTCATGCGTTGACCCCTCATGCCAGGGCTTCGGCCTTTCATGCGTTAACCCCTCATGCCCTGACCCACATGCTGGGGCCTTGGCTAGCCCCTCATGCGTTGACCTCCTCATGCTGGGGCATTGACCCTTCATGCGTTGACCCCAAATGCCAGGGCTTCGGCCTTTCATGCGTTGACCCCTCATGCCCTGACCCCCCATGCTGGGGGCCTTGGCTGACCCCTCATGCGTTGACCCCCTCATGCTTGGGAATTGGCCCTTCATGCGTTGACCCCTCATGCCGGGTCTTCGGCCTTTCATGCGTTGACCCCTCATGCCCTGACCCCACATGCTGGGGCCTTGGCTGGCCCCTCATGCGTTGACCCCCTCATGCTGGGTCATTGGCCCTTCATGCGTTGACCCCTCATGCCAGGGCTTCGGCCTTGCATGCGTCGACCCCTCATGCCCTGACCCCTAATGCTGGGGGCCTTGGCTGGCCCCTCATGCGTTGACCCCATCATGCTGGGTCATTGGCCCTTCATGCGTTGACCCATCATAACAGGGCGTCGGCCTTTCATGCGGTGACCCCTCATGCCCTGACCTCCCATGCTGGGGCCTTGGCTGACCCCTCATGCGTTGACCCCCTCATGCTGGGGCATTGGCCCTTCATGCGTTGACCCCTCATGCCAGGGCTTCGGCCTTTCATGCGTTGACCCCTCATGCCCTGACCCCTCATGCTGGGAGCCTTGGCTGACCTCTCATGCGTTGAACCCCTCATGCTGGGTCATTGGCCCTTCATGCGTTGACCCCTCATGCCAGGGCTTCGGCCTTTCATGCGTTAACCCCTCATGCCCAGACCCCACATGCTGGGGCCTTGGCTGGCCCCTCATGCGTTGACCCCCTCATGCTGGGGCATTGGCCCTTCATGCGTTGACCCCAAATGCCAGGGCTTCGGCCTTTCATGCGTTGACCCCTCATGCCCTGACCCCTCATGCTGGGGGCCTTGACTGAACTCTCATGCGTTGACCCCCTCATGCTGGGTCATTGGCCCTTCATGCGTTGACCCCTCATGCCGGGGCTTCGGCCTTGCATGCGTTGACCCCTCATGCCCTGACCCACCATGCTGGGGCCTTTGCTGGACCCTCATGCGTTGACCCCCTCAAGCTGGGACATTGGCCCTTCATGTGTTGACTCCTCATGCCAGGGCTTCGGCCTTGCATGCGTTGACCCCCTCATGCCAGGGCTTCGGCCTTTCATGCGTTGACCCCTGACGCCCGGACCCCCCATGCTGGGAGCCTTGACTGACCTCTCTCATGCGTTGACCCCCTCATGCTGGGTCATTGGCCCTTCATGCGTTGACCCCTCATGCCAGGTCTTCGGCCTTGCATGCGTTGACCCCTCATGCCCTGACCCCCCATGCTGGGGCCTTGACTGACCTCTCTCATGCGTTGACCCCCTCATGCTGGGTCATTGGCCCTTCATGCGTTGACCCCTCATGCCAGGTCTTCGGCCTTGCATGCGTTGACCCCTCATGCCCTGACCCCCCATGCTGGGGGCCTTGACTGACCTCTCTCATGCGTTGACTGACCCCCTCATGCTGGCACATTGGCCCTTCACGCATTGACCCCTCATGCCGGGGCTTCGGCCTTTCATGCGTGAACCCCTCATGCCCTGACCCCCCATGCTTGACCCCCTCATGCGTTGACCCCCTCGATCGCCCTTACTCGCGAGCCTGCCCCCGAAAACCGCCCGCGGACTCCCAGCCGTCCCCTCCCCGCGCGCCCCGCCGGCGCCGCCTGCGCGCACGCTTCGCGGCGGCTCCCCGCAGAGGGCGAGCACGCCTCCGCTCCGGGCAGAGGGGCCCCGTTGCGACTCGCGGGACGCAGCAGGACACAGCAGCACTACAGTCGGGGCGTTGACCTAAGGAAGTCTAAATAAGGAACGAGGCCCTTTTTTTCCATAAGTTAACCTTCGACCTCCTGTCGAAGACATAAGGGAAGCCTGAGGCAAACTGCGAAACACTTAAGGAACGCGGAGCCCCTCCCCAACGAAAAGGGTTCCTTCTTCAGGGCCCCGACTGTAGGTGCTCGCGTTGGAAGCGCGCGTCCGCACCGAGCAGGTTGCAGAAAAAAACTTATGGTACACCGTTTCCCGAGCGGCGTGGCCAGAAAGCACCCGCCGCAGGGGCTTAGACTGTAAGATTTCTCGGCGCGCGCGTCGCCCCTTTGGGGGCGTCGCACACACAGTATGAGTTCGGTGGCAACTCATGGGAGCCTCCCATAACATCGCGAATCGACGCTAGTCGACGCTCAATCGACGCTAATCCACGCTAAATCGATTCTAATCGACGCTAGCCGACGCTAAATCGGCCCTATCTCATCCACCCCCAGACGCTAATCGAATCTATTCGAGGCTGAAGACGGACTGAAAAGGGTACACCAGGCTCCCATGATTTGCCGCCGAGTATGCGTATGTGCTGGTGAACCCAACCTCACTCGTCGAGCGGCTCGACGAGGAGCGCGCAGCGCCCGCGAAGCCCCGCGTCGGCGAGGCTCTGGTCGCGGTCGGCGTGGACTCGTCGTGGCATGGCCTCGACAAGCTGGAACGTCTCCGGCTCGTCATCCCCGAGTTCGGACAGCACCTGGAAGCCAAACGAGCGACGATCCGAAACGGGTCTGACGCGAGACGACGCAGCGACCTTGCGCCGCGGCTTACGCGCGCCGCCGGCGCGGCACGCCACACTGGAGACGAGGGCGCTTACGCGCGACCTTACGTGGGCAGCTGACGCTCGAATGTCGGCGCAGACGGCCCCGTTTTTGTTGCGTCGCCCAAGCGTGCCGCTATCGCCACTCCCCCGGACCTCTCCCTAGCAGAGGGTGCGCTCCGACCAGGAGCCCGAGGCGAAGTCAGCCAGAAGGCGACGCGGGCCCCCCGGGAGGCGCCAAGAGGAGGGGAAGCGAGGGCAGGGCAGCGGTATCGGGACATGTGAAGGGGCCCCAGGACACACAAATAAATACACATAAATAAAATGATTCCCCATATTTTCCCATATTTTCTGGGTTTTTGTCTTCCCCACCACTTCCCATAATTTCCCATATTTTCTGGGGAATTGACGATTAATTGTGTCTGTGTGTTTCTTTTCCTCCTGAACATGTTCACTCCTCTGAGCATCAGGTCGGGCACGTCCTCCTACATGCGGGTGTTGGCAGAAACATGAACCATGAGTTATCCAAACATGTTCGAGCATAGGCCGCCGTAGTCGGAGCATCGCCCCCCAAAATTCCTCCTGCAGAGGGACGTGCCCGACTACAGTTAAGTCGGGCATGCCTCCCTACAAAGGGATTTTCGACGGAAAAAAAAAAATACCCCAAAAACAATCCAAATATAGTCCAAAAATAGTCTGGGGACTATATGTTGGATATTTGTTTGCCTGTTTGGGGCATTTTTGGGGTATTTGTTTATTTCTCGTCGAAAATACCCCTGTAGGGGACAGGCCCGACGTAAGACTACAGCGGCGCACCAGGTCGTACACGCACCGCAGCGCGTCGCCGCTGCGCAGCGCCCGCCGCAGCTGCCGCCCGCCGCGCAGGCGCACCTGCACGTCCACGCGGCCCGCCTCCTCCCCGCCCGGCTCCCCCGGCAGGCGCGCCGCGGCCTCCCGCCGGAGCCTCCCCCGCGCCTCGCGGGCCGCCGCCGCCTGCTCTCGCGCGGCCTCCTCCCGCCGCGCCCGCGCCTCCGCCTCCGCGGCCCCCCGCGCGAGCTCCTCCGCGGCCGCCCGCGCGCGCTCGCGGTCGACGCGCTCGCTCTCCTCGAGTTCCTGCTCCTGCTGCCGCCGCAGCGCCCCGTCCGCATCGGACTGCGACATCGCCAGCGCGCGGCGCAGCTGCGCCTCCTCCGACTCCTCGGCCCCCATGGCAGAGCGGATGCTCGCCATGTCCGCCGCGCTCAATCGGCCTCCCGGGGGCAGCGAAATCCCGGCGGCGCCAGCGCCGCCGGCCAGGAACTGGGCAAAGGCCGGGGAGCGGGTGTCCTGCTCCAGCCGCACGAGCTCGGCAAAGTACCTCTGCAGCCCCGCCTCGCGCTCCTGGATGAAGGCTGGGTTCATGTTGCCGAACATTCTCTTCCCAGGTATCTCTGGCATGGCCGACCCGTGCACGCAGCGAAGCTGCTCGTGGAGAGCTTGGATATGCCTGTAGCGCCTGTCGATGGTCCACGCTCTGCCGTCGAGGCCAGTGACCTTTATCATGTATACCGTGTGGCCCGCGGCAGGCATGTGACCCAGTACCTCCGCCGATGCCCATCCTGCAGGCTCCTGCGAGTCCATACGCCGCCCCTTGCCCCCCGCGGGCCCGCCCGGCTGGCGGCCCCCTTGGAGTGGCTTGGGCCGGCCGTGGCTTGAGCCAAGTGGAAACAAGGCTACCAGAACGCGGGTCCAGAGCGCGAGTCCCGTCGCCGATGGCCCAAGGCCTCACGGCGATGCCCAGAACGAAGAGCACTCCACGGTGGAGAGGGCCCGGCAGAACACGAGGGAGCCCCTCCAAAGCTGGGGCTGGCCTTCCCCCCCGTGCCAGGTGCACGCCGTGGCGTGGCACGGTGCGGCATGATGCGCGGGCGGCCGGCCGGTCGCCGGCGACTCCCATGGCCCTGCGGCACCATCGCAGCGGGCCCGCGGCAACTGGGGGCCCGCCCTCTTTGAGCCCTGGGGCCCACGATCCCCCGAAGAAGGTCCCAGCAGCCGCCCCGAAGAGCCCAGGAGACCCCCAAGAGGGCACCGAGGAAGTATCTGGAGAAACCCGCGAGGGCCCGAAGAAGACGCCAGTACAGCCTCACAAAAGCACACTGAGGGGCTCTAGTAACAAAAATCAGCGTAGGCCTCCTCTTCCTCCTCATCCTCATCATCATCGTTGTCATCATCTCATCTTCATCACTACCACCACCACCACACTCAGCACCATAATCATCCTTGCCAGCAGCACCAGATCATCGCCATCATCACCAGCAGCATCAGCTCATCGCCGTCGCCACTATCAGCATCACAATTACCATTAGCATCATCATCACCATCATCAGCAGCATCATCATTATCATCATCAGCAGCAGCATCAGCATCATCATCAGCTTCACCACCACCACCATAATCCATCATCATCATCATAATCATCATCATCATCACCATCATCATCATCACCATCATCATGTTCATCATCAACATCATCGTCATCAACAGCATCACTATCACCGTCGCCATTACCATTACCACCCCGTCATCATCAGCAACGTCGTTATCATCACCATCATCAATAGCATCATTGCTATTCGCATCACCATCATCATCACAAGCATCATCGACATCAACATCATCATCAGCTTTAGCATCAGCATCAGCAGCAGCATCATCATAATCAGCATCAGCAGCAGCATCATCATAATCAGCATCAGCATGAGCATCATCACCCTCATCATACACACATGCATAACCTCCTCCTTCAACCTCCTCGTCCAAGCAGGGCCGACAGGGGATAATTTCTGGATCGACTGGTGGGGGCACGCGAAGCGGCAAGGATGCAGCCTCCCAGGAGTTGCAACCGAGGGGGGGGGGGCCGTGGTTGCGCAGGGCTGCGCAGCACGCCAGTTCCGTCGCGGCGCGGCAGAGGCGATCTGCTCGCGCGTGGAGCAGACTATAGCAGATCCGGGCTGCGGAGTTGCGAATCGTCCCGCACGCAAGAGTTAGGTTGTTCCCATCCTACTTAAAGACCACATCCCAGAAATAATTTCGAGCACCCGGGAAAATGTCAAAAGAGTGTCGAAACAGTGTCGAAACAGTGTCGGGCGAGTGTCTCCCAGGGCCCGACACGTGAAAACCCCTGAGTTTCGGTACTTTTTGGGGCGCTCGAAATTCTTCTGGGTGATCAAGGCTAAAGTAGGTTGGAGCATCATCATAACGCAAGAGGGGGGAGGGGCAGACGAAGGCGGCCGCGGAAAGGGGAGGAGGGCGGGGCGGGGGGGGGGCACTCCCGCGCGGCGTCGCCGCGGGGGAGCGCGTGCGGGGCGGCCACACTGCGCCATCAACCAGGGGGTCCCGCGAAAAAGGCCCCCCCCCCTGCTGCTACCCGAAGGACTGCAAAAAAACGAAGGATTGCAAAAAACGAAGGATTGCAAAAAAAAAAAAAACAAGGATTGCAAGAGAAAAAACCCGAAGGATTGCAATCCTGGGTTGTTTTTGCAATCCTTCGGGTTTTTTTGCAATCCTTCGGTCATCCTGCTCCCCCTGCTCAAGTTTTAGATCGGGCACGTCCTCCTGCCGGCGGATCTTGAAGATCAAGAATGCTCGATTCACAAAAAAAGGTAAGAACCAAAATCACAAAGAAACCCAACTGACAAAGAGAGATCGTCCCTGGACTACTGCTCGACTATTCGCGAACAGTCCTGCCCAATTTTGTCCTGAAGCTTCTCTTCGCCATCGTCTTCCTCATCATGCCCCTCCTCCGGCCGCTCCTGCCCACCCTCCCTGCCAGATCCCTCCTCCTGCCCGACCTGCACCTCCTCCTCCTCTCGGCGGTGGACAAACCTCCCTTTAGTAGACCTCCCCTTAGTGAAAACGGCCTTGGACCGAATGCGACGGACCTGGACCCGCAAAAATGACGGCCGCAACGCCCTCTCGCAAACCGAAAACGGCCAATTCCTCAATCGACGTGTTAGGGTAGGAGGTCTGTCCACCCCCGGTCCTCCTCGTCCGCCTCTGTGGTCCGCTCCCTCGAGGGCTCCGCAGGCCCCCCCCCAGGCCCGAGCTGGCTCGAAGCGCGCCGTCGCATCGGAGATCGGACACGGCTCGGCTCGCCAGCGGGTCGCCCCGGAGCGAGATCGAGCTCATTGGGCGTTGCTTAATGGGGGGGTCACAAATGGGGGGGTCAGAAAAGGTCCCCTTTCGTGCCCCTTTCGGGCCCCTCCAGAGCCCCAGGGGGCTCGTTTAGGTACCGTTTGGGTACCTTTTCGAACCACCCTCGCCACCCCCCCATTTATGACCCCCCCATCACGCGGCGCCCAAAGCTCGGAGCGCCGCGCGGCTCCGGCGAGCCGGGGCCGAGGCCGATGCCGAGCGGCTCGAGCCGGGGCGAGATCGGAATCCCGAGGCCAGCCCGCGAATCGCGAGCTGAATCGCGTCGAGTCGGATCCCGGGCGGCCCCGCCCCCCGCCCCCACCCACCCACCCTCCTCCTCCTCCTCCTCCTCCTCCTCCTCCTCCTCCTCCTCCTCCTCCCCCTCCTCCTCCTCCTCCTCCTCCTCCTCCCACCCCTCGATAGCAGCAAGGGGCGCCGGGCAGAGCAGCGCCGCGCGACAGCGGGTGCGCGCGTGCCGCGAGGCCTCTCTGGTTGTGGATGCCAGGGCAGTGGACACCCTAACAATCCGATCGTCGAACTAAAAACATGTCTAGAATGTCGGAACATGTTCAAGCGATGTGCAAAGCATGTATTTCGCATGTCTATGACATGTTTAGAACATATTTCAAACATCTGGGAACTATTTGGCAACGTGCTTCCTCTCCATTGATCATCCTTCGCAACTCTTTGGGGGCGGGGAAGTGGGGGGGGGCCGAGCCCCCCACTTGGGCTTCCTGGGGCCCGAGAATCCTGGCGTGTACCCCTACAGACGGATTTTGGACGAAAAATCAAAATAGTCACACACACACACACACACCAACAAAAACTAACAAACAAAACATAATCGCTTAAAAATAATACAAACAAAAAGTCTCAAAAAATCGTCCCGACTTGTTGTTTTGACTATTCTTGAACATCCCTCCTGTAGAGGGATGCGCCCGACTCAAAAGAAGCCCCAGGAGCCAAGAGAGCGCCCGGGGTTCGCGCTCCTCGCGCTGCGTGGCGCACGAAGAGCGCACAGTGTCGGGCGCTCGCGCCGCAGCCCCCCCCCCTCCCTCCCTTGGAGGGGTAGAATTGCGGAGGCGCGCAAACATGGATGAACGATCCATGGATTTGGCGCGCGGTCGCCAAATCCATGGATAGGGGAGGGTGCCCCTCCCAAAATGCGGCGGGTGCCGCCGAATTCGGCGGCGTACATCCGCGGTTTCCCACGGGAAACGGGACCCGTCGCTAATCCACGCCCCCCTGATCCATGTTTGCGACCGCCTGAGAATCGGGTCGGGCATGACCCCCTGCAGGCGGGTTCTGGACGAAAGATAAAAAACAACCAAACCAGTGCTCAAACAAGATCGAAAAGACTCGAAAGATCGTGGAGGGACACGCCCGACTTGGGGGCAGAAGAGGAGGACGAGGAGGAGGAGGACGGGACACGAGGAAGGGCACAGGCCGCGAGGCGCGAAGCGCGCACGGCTTCGCGCCCTCGCGAGGGCGCCCTTCTGGGGAGGGCAGGCCCGACGAAGTCCTGCAGGCGCATGGGGGCTCTGGTCGGTGTCCCGCCGGTGCCGCCAGCCGCGGGGGGCGCAGTGGAGGGGGGGTCCACCTGACGGCGCACCCCCTGACTTCCCCTTGGCCCGCCACACGGCCCTCGGCGCGGCTTAGGAGACAGACGGCTTTCGGGTCGTGTTAGTTTAGGCTCACCCCCCCCCCACGCGCCCCCCGCGGCCAGCCACGCGTGCCCAGCCCGACCCAACCCAAAGCCGGGGCAAGCGAAAGGGAGCGGCACGGCCCTGTGGCCTCGTGGAGCATCCGGTGGCAGCTCGTGGGAGCCTACCGCACATACCATCTTGTCGGCTCTCGCGAGCCGACGCTAGCCGACCCCACATCAGCGCCAGTCGACGCTCAATCGACGCTAGCCGACGCGAATTCGGCGCTATCTCAGCGACTCCCAGACGCTGATCGACGCTGGTCGACGTCAAAGACGGAATTCAGAGGATATACACCATGCGAAATGCTTAAGAAATCATGGGTTCAGAAATTCGTAGTCTCAGAATTTGAACAAAACCCCCGCATTTCTATCAAAATCTTAGGATTCACATTGAAGCATTATAAGAATAATCGAGACTCTGGCCGAAAACTTGGGTTTTCTGAAACATCGCCTAAAGTGTACCAGGCTCCCATGATGTGCTGCCGAAGAAGCAGGGCCCCAGGCACACCGACAGAGCTGCAGCCCCACCCGTGCGTGTTCGGCAGTGGCCGCCAGAGAACATCTACGACCGCGTCGCGCAGCCGCGCGCCCGAGCACATTGCACACGAAAATGTTCAAGGGCATCCGAAGTCCGTTCAAGAAACGCGGCGAATGCATCTGGATGCTCAGGCAGTACAGAAACGCATACAGCCATGTCGAACCGATCGAGACACGAACCTAATGTTGCATCACCTGAAGGATG